GAGAGAGAGAGAGAGAGAGAGAGAGAGAGAGAGAGAGCGAGCTCAATGTGAGAGCGAAACATCGATTGATTGCCTCCTATAAATGCCCCGACCCAGGACTGAACCTGCAGCCTAGGTATCTGCCCTGACCTAGAATTGAACCTGCAATCTTTTTGGTGCACCAGACAATGCTCCAACCAATTGAGCTACCCAACCAGGGCAATTCTAGAAAGATTGGCAAGTGGAATAAGTGAGCTATCATTTTCAAAATTCTCAAGCTTTCTGATTTAATATAAATTTTCAATTGAAGTGGAACATACACTGTAGATACAAATGCACAAATCAGAAGCAAATAGCTAAAATGAATTTTCACAAAGAAAATACACCCAGGTAACCATCAAATTAGATCAAAACTCCAGAAGCACCCTCAGACTCTATTCCAGTAGGTACTATTTCTTACCCTGCTTTTCAGATGAATCGTCTGAGGAATAGAAAAAATTGCCTAAGTAACAGAGCAGGCACTGGAACACAGGCAGTCTGGCTCAAGTACATGTACTTAGCCACTATATTATATTGTACTTTAATGTATTATTTTTTAAAATTCTCACAATAATCTATGAGGAAGGTACTATTATTATCTCCAATTGACAGAGGCAGGAACTGGCACAGAGAGGTTAAGTTAGTTGCCCAAGGTCACATATTAAGTGGTAGAATAAAAATTAAAACTAGGCAGCCCAGTTTCAAGTGCTAGTCTGCCTCCTTTCTGTGCTGCACCATGCTCTCTCCTCCTCTGTCTCAGGACACACCTGAAGGAGGAGGGCTTCTCCTGGGTAGAGACAAGCATAGGGGTAAGGGACAAGAAAAACTTTGCAAAAGGTGACATGTATTCTACACCTTGAGGTCAGGCCATAAAGGAGAAGTTAGAGGAAAGAAAACCAGCCAGGCACACTGGCATTTAAGAAGGAAAAATGCCAGAGAACTACTAAACTGGTACTCAAAAGGGCTGCAGAGTAGATTTCAGTGCTGAGTGGGCACAGGAATGAAAAATATACATTCAATGTAATTAAATGAGATCGTATTTCCCATCTGACGTTCTCAACTTAAATTTTATCTTACTACAGACTAATTATTGAAATAGATAAATCACAGAGAAAAGGAAAAGGTTTTTAGGCTCTATCTTTGTGAGAAGCGGACAGTTAAACTGTTCTGAGAAAAATCTGTCAATACAGCATTGGTTTGCTTTATTTTCTGTTGTTAGCCACTGAGCAACTTTACTGACTGTATAAACAGCCTCCGAAGGTTCTGTTTTTTCCTTCTGTGGTCATTTTCTGACCTAATTTATTCACTGGGCAGGGGATGAAACAGAAGAGGCGGCAGTCTGTGCACTGAGAGTTTACAGTAGGACTGGCAGCAGCAAGGCTGGACGCAATCCGATGACTCACGTCTGTACATCCACTCTTCAAACACCGCGGCCGCTCAGTGAGGTCCAGCTATCTGTCAACACTGCAGAGGAGCCCAGGCTTTTACACTGAGCAGCACATCAGATTTTTAAGTCGCAAAACCTCATTCTAGAAATGAGACTAAAAATGTTTTGTTTTGATAAACTCAAACTTTTAAAATCCTTATAACTGGGAAATGGATGAATTTTTCTGACTCTTCTAT